GAACTTTTACATTTGTTTCCACTCATTTATTCACCAGATCAAGACAGCGAGCATTTCTAACATACCAACAGGCTCCCTCATGCCTTCTCTCAATTGATAACTTGGCAAGAGATGACCACCGTTCAGACTTTATATTAGTTTTGCCTGTCTTTCGAAGTAACTTTTTTGAGATATCATTCACATACCATACAATTCACCCACTTAAATGTACAATTCAGTGATTTTTAGTATATTCACAGAGTTGTGCAACCATCACCACCATTAATTTTATGACACTTCCATTGTTCTCAAAAAGAAACTCTGTAACTATCAGCAATCACTCCCAATTTTACTCCGATTCTTACAGCTCTAGGCAAACCACTAATCATATGAATGAAATTGTATAACGTGGTCTTTTGTGACAGCCTTTTTTCTCCCTTATCAGAATGTTTTCAAACTTCATATATGTTGTAGCATTCATCGGTACTTCATTTCTTTTTACGGCTGAACAATATTCCATTATATGGATATACCACACTTTATTCATCAACTCATTAGTTGATGAGCATTTAGGTTGTTTCCCCTTTTTGGCTATTATAAATAATGCTGCTATGAATACGCTCATGAAAGTTTTTGTGTAGATATGTTTTCATTTATGTTGAGTAGATACCTAGCAGTAGAATTGCCAGGTCATGTGGCAACTCTACGTTTAATGGCCAAACTGTTTTGCAAAGTGGTTTGCAAACATATTTAAACATTTTTGACTTAAAGTCTATTTTGTCTGATATGAATATCACATTCCAGCTTTCTTATGGTTGCGTTTTGTATATCTTTTACCATTCTTTTAATTTCAACCTATGCGTATCTTAGAATCTAAACTGTGTCTCCTGTAGACAGCGCATAGCTGGATCTTAATGTAGTCTGACAATCTCTACCTTTTAATTGGATTGTTTAGTTTTCATACTTAATATTATTATTGATATAGTTGGATTTATGTCTGCCATTAAAATTGTTTTTCGATGTCTCATGTCTTTTTTGTTCTTCTGTTCCTCCTCTACTGCCTTTTTTCCCCCATTAAGTGAATATTTTCTAGTGTAAATTTAAATTTCTTTAAAGATTTTTTTTTTATACTATACGTTTTTGAGTTATTAGTGGTTTTCTAAGACATACCATATCATCTTAACTGATAAGACTCTTCTTTGGATTTATGACAACTTAATTCCAGTGAGATTTTTAAAAAAATCTATGGTGATTCAAGAACTCTAGAGGGTGCTTCTTCACGTCTGTATACCCCTTAAACTGTTACTACATCTATGGCAGTGCCTAAAATGTACTTTGCTACTTAGAGCTAGAATCTATGGAACCAATTGGGCAGCCTACTTAACTGGGATAGATTGCTTTCTTCCTCATATGTAAAGAATTCTGTTTGTCAAAAAACAAGTGATGACATAGCTTGTGAGATAACTGAATCAATAAAACAAGGAATGAGGTCTTGATTTCTATTTTGTTTGGAATCCACCCTCAAATATACCTTCAGTTGGTTTCATCAACTCGTTCAGTACATTTATCAGGTGGCTCATAATAGTGTGCTGGGTGCTGCCAAAATACATACACAAGACAGGCTTCCAGCGCTCCAAGAGTTTTCAGGGACATGCCAATTAAGGTTGTCCTGATTTACAACTCTTGTTTCATTGTCTTAGTCCCAAAACCTTAACTGATTTACAACTCTTGTTTCATTATCTTAGTCCCAAAACCTTAACTCCAGATGAGTCTATGTTTTCACTAAGCCTGAGTGCCAATGAAGAAATTGCCCATACTTGAGATAAAATAAAGATTTATTGCTTGTTTAGTATCATTAATGGAGATGTGACCCTTTCAAAAACGGAGGTGTTTGCGTTTTAAAACCTGGCTCCCTGTAGAATCCTGTCTTTTCCTGGAAAAGTCCTGGGGCTCAGGCCACTGTTCTTCTCCTTTCCCGCACCAAAATTTAGCTGCATCTCTGGGTGGTAAGACATTAGATGGCTTTTATCTTTGTGCTTTGCTGTATTTATTTCATTTTCTTTTCTGCAATAAGTACATGTTATCGGCATAATCAGAAAAAAAAAAAACCCAACATTAAAGCTATTTTATTGTAAAGCCAAAACAAAACTTTATTGCTTCTTCAGTTCCTTTAGGTCTCAGGAGGAAGTAGACTAGTTCAGCTTAAATATTAACTCAAGTGAAGCTTTTTCTTGCTCCTTACCTCATTTTCTTACCTCAAATGCATGTCCTTACCTCAGTTTCTATTAATTCCATCCACTTGGCCTGCTAAGCCAGAAATCCTGGATGTATCCTTAACCCTGACGTCCAAATATCTCATCCTATCAACTGTCTCTAACTATCTCTCCAATATGCCTTCTTCTTTCCATCCCACTTGCTACTTCTGCCTTAGTTGAGTCCTTTACCATCTCTCATCTATATTACTGTAATGTCTTTCTATGTCTCTCCTCCCTTGGCTGTCAACTAAACTCCTCCTCCTACTGGTTCAGAAAGCTAGAGTCAATTAGCCTTTCAACCTTTCAGCCTTTCCTCTCCTAGAGTACTAGGCTGTGATAATCATTCCTTCTGGTCCCACTGTATCCAGAAGAGAATAACATCAACAGTAATGATAAACTTTAATGTAGAAAAGCATAAAATAACTGTTAGTATTTATTAAGCACTTCTATATGCCAATGTCTGTATTAGGTATTATTAGCAATGACCCTGGTAGGTATCTCTTTTTTATTATAACATTTATTGTCTCAAAATGGCTTAGTTATTATTTATCTCCCCAGTAGACAGTTGTAATTAATTTTTGTATCCCTACAACTCGTACAAGTTCTATACGTGTATTTTTTGGAATATGATGAAGCCAACGTTCAAATTTAACAAAACCTTGATTCCAAGGATGTGAGATTTCGAGGCCAGTGGCGGGAGAGGCTTGGAGTTTGGGCTGAGGCTTTCAGGGTTCCTCCAGTCACATTAAATGGTCTTCCACCTTGAAGGAAATGGCATTGCCATCTTCCTATTCACTTAAGAAAACAACCTGGGAGTCATCTTGTTTTCTACTTTTCTTCATACTTACACCTCAGGAAATGTCCTAAAATCCTTCAACTTTTATTCCCATAGCAACCACCCCAATCCAGCACCATCATCTAGCCCACGGACCTACCCTGTAGCTTCCTCCCATTGGCTTCTCCCCGTTCCATTGCTGCTCCCCTCTAAGTCATTCTCCACAAAATAGGTTGACTTAAAAAATAAGACAAAACAATAAAAGCATCCAAATGACATGATTCAGCTCCTGCCGTCCAACCTCGATCTTCTACCCTCCCCATGGTGCTGAAGCCTCCTGGCACGTTCCTCAAGCCAAACATTCGCCATCAGCACCTTCACATCCATCGTCCTGTGTCTAGAATGCTCTTCTTCCCGTAGTTATCATAACTGGTTCCTTCTCCTCATTTAAGTCTTAGCCTGGATCACCTCCTCGAAAAGTCCTTTCCTGACCACGCTTTTTTGTTTTCTTCTCAACACTTAATCACTACCTGTAATTAATTATCTTATTGTTTCATTATTTGTCTTCTCCACTAGAAACATAAGCTTCTGTGTCTAGAATGCTCTTCTTCCCGTAGTTATCATAGCTGGTTCCTTCTCCTCATTTAAGTCTTAGCCCGGATCACCTCCTCGAAAAGTCCTTTCTCGACCACGCTTTTTTGTTTTCTTCTCAATACTTAATCACTACCTGTAATTATCTTATTGTTTCATTATTCGTCTTCTCCACTAGAAACATAAGCTTTTCTAAGTGCAGGGGCTGCTTCTTCTGTTGTATCCACTGCTGTATCTCTGGCACCAAGAACAAAATACAATCGATATTTTTTTAATGAATAAATAAAACGAAGGAAAAGACAACAGTCTTCTTGGTGTATACGTAAGGTGGCCAGCAGAGTCGCAACGAAAATGAGTCCCTTGTTCACATTGCTCTTAACTACTGGAAGGGGAGAGGTAAAGCACAGAAGCCATTGGGGTCTACCAGGTCCTACTGTGATCCAGTTAGTAAAAGCGGCAATCACAGTTCTAAGAACAGGTGGACTGGGTGGGTTGCCAATGACCGCCAGCGCTGAATTCCAGTGACTTCGCGGGGGTGGCCAGGACACTTGTTCATCCTCTTTGTTAAAAGGTCCGCAGGGAGTAGTCAGTTCAGGTAAACCTGATTCATTTGTTCAGGGCAGCCAAGAGGGTGATGGGTGGCCTTCTCGGCCTGCCATCCTCCGTCTGGAGTGGGGTCCTGGTGGTTAGGCTGGGTCAGCTTGTACCGGTTTGCAGGCTGTGAACGTGAACCTTCAGTCTCTGTTGCCCTTATTTCTTTTTCACCTACCTGTGCTCTAAATCCACCTACACCGTGGCCTTCGTAAAACCCAAGCGATTAACTGTTCTAGCTTATCTATGTCCGAAATCTCTCTGCATCATTATCTTTCTTTGATCATGAAGTTCTCTTTTTAATTAATTCCTCCGTTATTTGCCGTTTCTTACTTACTGTGTCTCCTTATCTAGTTCTCACGTGCTGAGACACAGTCAAGTGCAGTTTGCAAAGCTCTGAAGTATCCCACGACAAACGCTTCTGACTAGTGCTTCTACTTGTTGCCTAAGGGTCAGTTCAAACTGCAATGATCCTCGGTTTTAGAAGCGGCTTTTGCAAGTCTCTAGAAAAGGCCCCAGACTCGCCAGTCCCGTGCTACCCCGCAGGGCACCGTTTCGGACTTGCAGGAAGTTGTCCCGGTCCCATTTCTGCCCACAACGGACCGCTGGGGCAGAAATGGAAAGCAAGCTGCTGTCAGTGGTGTCACGATCTGCTGCTGCGAAGCGTCCCTCGTCCGGCCGCGCCGCCAGGTGG